ATTTTAAACAAATACGATTATTTCAAATCACTTTGTACTCGATCAATAGAAAAAACACAACTGACTAACTAAAACGTTTAGATACTACACATCTCGATGTGTATCATTTTGTTAACTTTATGTTTGATTTTATTGGGTCAAACGGACTCCACCTATACATGTATTGTCGAATAATAATGCAGTAATTTGATTCGTTTGAATCTGCAAATACTCCTTCTCATAATAATATATCACCTCGTTACGTTCAATAAGTATAGTCAAAAACACATTTATACATTCTCCCTTTTATGCAATAGATTCTAAAAGGATACGAAGTAATGCGAAATACCACATTAGTAACAATGTAAACGCTAATGATGACAATATTGTCCCCTATTAATAATAACAATAATAGAATTTTTATTGGCAAGTGTAACCCTCACGCGCTCCCCCCCATTTATTGGCGCATCCTTTAGTAACAGTGAGCGTAATGGACAGCTGCTTTTACTACAATAGTATTTATGATTTGTCATGACGCTCCACACAATTATTGGCTATCATTTTAAAGTTATAAAAATATTATTTTTATTCATTTTCTGGTAACTAATATATTAATACTAATAATTGTACGAACACCTTTTTTTTCTTTTATTCCTTATAATCTCTCCACATAAAGTAAATAGATTTATTTTTTATTATATAAATATTTATATGTTGGATTTTTAATTTATAAATGTGAATTAAAAAAATTTTAATTTGTAACAAAATTTAAGCTTAAACTGTGAAAATATTTACTAAATCAGACAACATCAATCATACAACAAAATATTGAAAAAAAATGTATATTGAGTTGCACACCATGTTTTTTTTTAAATATCATTCGATGTGTTATATTATGAATAATTTTTATTTGGCGTGAAAAGTACATTTCTCTTTAAATAATAATTATACATTCGACAAATAAATTTTCTACAAGCAAAGTAGTACTCATCATAAAATCATATAATCAATTATATGTATTGGCTATCATTTTAGAATTATAAAAATAATTTTTTCATTCATTTTCTTGTAATTAATATATTAATACTAATTATTATACCAATAACTACCAGGTGTGCTCCTAATTAATTGCCGGTTTATTTGTAAAGAAAACACATTAATTGTAAAAAATCTTTTATATTTATTTTATTCAAAATATTTCCCATCGCTTTCTATACATTTCTCCCATCTCTCGGGCAATTTGTGGATACCACGCCAGTAGAAATGACTCTCTTTGGTGATGAAAAACTCGGTGAGCCATTTTCGTAAATTTTCGAATGATTCGAAACGCTGCTCAGAGAGAGCGTGACCCAACGATGCAAAAAGGTGGTAATCAGACGGGGCCAGGTCTGGTGAGTACGCCGCATGATCAAGTACTTCCCACTGCAACTTTTCCAATGTGTCGCGCACGACTTTTGATTTATGCGATGGTGCATTATCATGGAGCAAAATCACCTTTTTCTGCCTCGCATGATATTCAGGCCGGTTTTCTTCAATTGCTCGTTTCAAGTCTGTTAATTGTTGTTGGTAGCGAATGGCGTTAACAGTTTCGCCGGGTTTTAGCAGTTCAAAATAGATCACACCGGTCTGGTCCCACCACACACACAACATGGCCTTCCGACCGAAACGATTTGGCCGTGCCGTCGATGTCGTTGCTTCACCTGGACTGACCCACGATTTTTGGCGTTTAGGATTCTCCAAATAGATCCATTTTTCATCCCCAGTAACAATACGATGCAGGAACGACTTTCTTTTGTACCGTTGAAGCAGCATTTCACAGGTCACTTTCCGGTTTTCCATTTGTCTCTCGTTCAGTTCATGAGGCACCCACTTTCCACACTTTTGAATTTTTCCCATAGCTTTTAGACGTTTGGATATTGCTTGATGTTGAACTCCAAGCGCATCAGCGAGCTGTCGTTGCGTTTGCGTGTTGTCCTCATCCAATAAAGCTTGTAATTCAATATCATCAAATGTTTTTCGCTTACCGGAACGTGTGGCGTCATTCAAGTCGAAATTTCCACTTTTGAATTGTCGAAACCATGTTTCACATGTTCGAAGTGATAAAGCATGATCGCCATAAACTTCCACCAGCGCACGATGGCTCTCGGACACCTTTTTTCCTAGATTAAACATAAAAAGCAATGCATGGCGCATATGTTCAAAATTGGGCACGTAACTTGACATTTTTGACGCACAATAAAAACTTAATGAAAATGTTTAAAAAAAAAACGTTAACACAGTTTAAATAATTGATATCAACTATACAAAATAACATGTGTATGTTATCAATAGCAATACAAAACATAGCACGCTATCTGTCAAAAAAAACCGGAAGTTAATTAGGAGCACACCTGGTATTAGTTCATTATAATTTTTAACATAAATAAAATAGATTTATTTTTTATTATCTATATATATACGATTTATTATTTATAAATTTAAAAATATAAATGTAAATTATTAAAGTTGATGTAATCAGGGTAATTAAGTGTAAATGTAATAACGATAATTAAGCAATAACACTAGAAACGTTTATTCCGACGATAAACAATATAATTTAGTATTAACAATAGATATAGATGCTTAAAAATTTTTATTAAGTACAGTGACAGTTGACATAAAAATAGTTGAATTAATTCGCGTCTATCTATCCAGCCCCAAGCGACCGGTTCTCACCGCTCGTCGGCCACCCAGAATAGCGCGACCTGTCGGACGTGAAGAGGAAGCGCCGCGATCGCCATCCGGTGGTAACACCGGAAATGAAATGCGACCGCGACTAAGTTTTAAACTGACAATGTGAAAATATCAACAAAATGATAATTTGTTATTAGGAAAATTTTATTTCATTCAATTACAATACAATTTTGTGTTAGTAAAATAAAGTTATAACATATTTTCATATGTTATAACATAACAAAACGTATTTTAGACATAACTGACAATCATTTTCCAATCGTGCAATTATGGTGTGCCCATATCTGGNTTGACAATCATTTTCCAATCGTGCAATTATGGTGTGCCCATATCTGGTTTCAAGAGCTATCAGCTGTGTTACTGGCTATGGAGGATCCAATTATAATGATGACATAAGAACATATTCATTTTTAGCTTGTGAATTAAGTTTTTTTACAACATTCATTTTACTAAAAATTTTTTTTTATTTAAAATGGTAAAAATTTCTAAGTGGAGAAATGCGGTCGTCGCCCACAATAAGCCTAGTTGGTAGAGCGATGTATTGATACTACGCGTATTCGCAAACCTACCGGGTGACAGTAATTTGGATTTTTAAAGATGTTCCGAGAGGAGTCCAGGCAATTTGATTATATCATTAAAAAGCTGATTAAATTTTACATATAATAGTGTTAATTTCTAAGTGGAGAAATGCTATCGTCGCTTTCAATAAGCTGAGTTATTACGGCGGTGTGTATGTTAGTAAGTGTGTTTATATAAGGCGTCAGTTGATAAAGACCATTTAATTATTGTAATGTATGAATTTTATTTTTGTGGCTACATCTAGCGGTTAGAAAAAGCGCTATACTATATTATTAATATGTAACCGTGTAGGTAACCAATATATAAAAGTGATAAGAAGTTGGTGGAACAAAAATTGGTAGCTTCACACTCGTGTAAAATAACATATTTTATGAATTAATTTTTGTAAGGAAATATACTAATGAACATATAGATTAAACAAAATATAAATGAAAACACAATTGAAATTAATGGATTAATACTTAGAAGAACTGTGAACTATATTTATCACTTATATATGAGTATTTAAAATACACTAAGTCTGAGGATTATTTATAATAAGTTAATAAAGTTTTTTTTATAAAGACTAGTTTAATCCCAGGACTCTTATAATTATGTCTCTCGTTAAATTACAATATTAACATAATATTTTTAACTTTTAAAATAAAGGTGCATACAATTCACAGGATAGATAATTAATAATTATACAATAATAACTTACATTCAGTTGTATAGTATCAAGTTGTTTTAATAAGTCATTAGCATAATTATCTTTCACTAAATTTCTATGTAAGCTCAATAAGTTATTTGAAAACAAAGTCCATTTTTTAATAAAGTTTAGTCAATTATGTTAATAGTTTTTTGTTTCTGGATATTTTATAAAATAATCTTGAAAAAACCTAAAACAAAAATTTAAATAATAAGTAGACACAACATATTGCTTTTTTTTATAGTTTTAACCAGTATCATATTTGAAAATAAAAAGTAAAAAAAGTTGCTGACGAGTTGAGAGAAATATTACGTAAATTTTAATTTTAATATTACAACATTGATTACTATATTATAAAAAAAATACACATAGATAATAATATTAATTACTAATTTTTATCATTTTTTTTTTCTTACCAGATTATATCCTTTAGGACTACATAAAATATTTTAAATGATTTAAAATTTTTAGACAAATGACGACCAGTTATGCTATTTTAAACCACAAATTTCAGCCATTCTTATTTCCAGTGTTTTTTAATCTCATCAAAGTTAGAAAAAACCCAATTGTGCTTAATCAAAATTTTGCTGATTCAGCTTCATCTATTTTAATATTTATATTAAATTAATTAATTAATTGGATGTATTAGCATGAATATAAAACATAAATGTTTGATAATATTACTATCAGAAAATGTTAAAATTGATAATGTTTCAGAGAAGTTTAATAGCTATTAGTAAATAAAATAATAATGAGGTAACATGTATTAAAAACTTTTATATACATACATTTTTTAATTTTGAAATAATTTGTTAAATTTAAAAATATTATAATCTGTTTTTATTTAAAATACATTGGTTATTAAAAGGGTAGGTAATTCAAATATCAAATATTTTTCTAAATTGAAAAAGAGCTTTAATTATTAAATTTATTGATGGGTATTTGAAAAATGTATTTATTTGCATTTATCATTATTATTAATTGATTATGATAATTTTTTTAAAAAAAATGTAAATTAATTTAATAGTTTTAAACCTATATCCTACTTCTTGTTCTTTGGGAAGTATTTCAATGATAATTGAAGAAATTTTCCGAAATTAAAAATCAGTTCCCCTAAAACAAATATTTAATATAACATAAGTTTAATAAATAGAAATATTAAATTAGTATAAAATTAAAGGTCTATGATTATTTTATATAAGAACTATAAGTTTTCATGTATATTAACTATTTTAACTTACACCCATACATATTTAATTTATAATAAATATTTAAAATAACATAGTGTATATTACCGAGCTTTGTCTTTAAATAAATAATTTATTAAGTCTCGTAAGTGTATTTTGAGCATCATTAGATAAATGTTCATGGTTTACTTTTGCATCAGTCAAAATAAAACGACCATCATTAGTTGAATACATCAAGCTCATAATAGACTAAAAGTAATACATATTATTTTATAATTTGTCATACTTAAAGAATAAAATTTTATTAATATATTACTTGCAAAGTCCATTCTATTGGTTTATATGTTCCATACTTGAAATTTGATTCAGTTAGAGATGAATATGAAGAAAATTTATTAGAATTAGTTTACACATTTACACTATCATCACTTTTATTACTATTTAAAACACNGTATTTATTGTTGATAAAATAAAAAAAACTCAATACTTAATTGATACTGGTGCGGACTTTTCGGTTTGGCCAGCAGATCCTAAGCAGAAACGCAATAAAATAAAAGATGGTAACCCTATTTTATTTGCAGCCAACGGGTCAATAATAAAAACATACGGTGAAATATTAATTGCTGTAAATTTAGGATTAAGACGTGTTTTTAAATGGAAATTTATTGTCGCAGCAGTCAGTAAACCAATTATAGGTGCTGACTTTCTCCACTATTTCGGCTTATTAGTGGACTTAAGAAGTAAACGCCTAATTGTTAAAAATACCAAATTAGCCACCGCCGGAAAAGTTAAGAAGACGATATCCTTGGGCATCTTCGCTTTTAAAGACGATTCAGCGTACAGTAAGTTACTCCAAAAATTTCCGCAAGTATTAAGAACAAACATGATCCCTATAGATTGTAAACATAACGTTACACATCATATCATCACTAAAGGACCACCACTCTTCGCTAAACCAAGACGCCTTCCTCCGGATCGACTAGAGATCGCAAAAAAAGAATTTGCATATTTAGTAGAACGGGGCATATGCCGACCTTCAAATAGTCCGTATAGCCCATTACAACTAGTAAAAAAGAAGAACGGTGAATGGAGACCGTGCGGCGACTACCGTAGGTTAAACGCAGTCACATTACCGGACAGATACCCCATTCCACACATTCAAGACATCACACAGCGATTGCAAAATAAAAGTATTTTTTCAAAAATCGATTTGGTTAAAGCTTTTAACCATATACCAATAGAACCGTCCGATATTCCAAAAACAGCTATTACAACACCTTTTGGGTTATTTGAGTTTGTTCGGATGGGATACGGTTTTAAAAATGCAGCTCAAACATTTCAGCGTTTCATACACGGTGTTTTAAAAGTCTTAGATTTTTGTGAAGTGTATTTGGACGATATTTTAATTGCATCGTCTTCAACACAAGAGCATTTGAGCCACCTCAAACGTGTATTACAACGACTCAGTGAGTACGGCATTGTGATAAATACGAATAAATGTATATTTGGAAAAGAAGAGGTACTATTTTTAGGATACATCATATCGGGTAACGGTCTTAGACCAAATCCTGAAAAACTGGAAGCGATAGACAAATATCCACGGCCGAATAATGTACAAGAGCTTCGACGTTTTTTGGCTATGTGCAATTTTTACCGCCGTTGTATCCCAAACGCAGCAAGTACACAAACTATTCTTCACGATTATCTTAAAAACAGCAAAAAAAACGACAAAACACCAATTGTATGGACCAATCAACGGGAGCGTTCGAGAAAACTAAAGAAAACTTAAAGCGAGCCACAACATTATCGTATCTAGATCCGGCCGCGAATATTCAATTACGATGTGACGCGTCAGATATGGCGATAGGCGCAGTAATAGAACAATTTAAAAACGGCGTTTGGCAACCACTTGCTTTTTTCTCTCGCAAACTTGACCAAACACAAAAAAAATACTGTGCATACGATCGTGAACTTCTTGCGGTATATGAAGCCATTAAGCATTTTCGCTATATGCTAGAAGCCCGTGAATTTGAAATAATTACGGACCATAAGCCGTTAGTATACGCATTCACACAACACTCAGATAAATTACCACCTCGACGTGCACGACAACTTGATTTTATTAGTCAGTTTACAACATCAATACGGCACGTAACAGGTACACAGAATACAGTGGCCGATGCGTTATCGAGAATAGAAACTATAAATGCACCGCCACCGCTAGATTATGACAAGTTAGCTTACGACCAGTTAGCAGACGCAGAACTATTGTCGTTATTGTCAAAACCGGAATTATCGATAAAACTAGAGCTCGTAAATATGCCCACTACGAACACAAATATTTACTGCGACACTTCTAATGGTAGACAACGACCGTATCTTACCAAACAATTTCGCCGCAATGTGTTCAATTGTCTACATAATCTCGCTCACCCAGGTATACGGTCAACAATAAAATTAGTGAGTAGTCGTTTCGTGTGGCCGTCGATGAACAGTGATTGTGCAAAATGGACTCGTGCGTGTTTAGTGTGTCAAAAGTCAAAAATAACGCGACATGTTATAAGTCCGTGTGGTATTTTTAATGTGCCGAGTGATCGTTTTTCACATGTACACATCGATATAATCGGTCCTATGGTCATGTCACGTGGTTGTACTTACTGTTTAACCGCTATAGACAGATTTTCTAGATGGCCAGAAGTTTTTCCAATTCAGGATATTTCGGCTGAAACCATAGCTCGTACGTTATTTGAAGGCTGGATAGCTCGATATGGAGTTATGGAGAGATTGACAACAGATCAAGGACGGCAATTTGAGTCTACTCTGTTCACCGCAGTAACGCAAATTTTAGGGTTTAGAAGAATACGTACATCAGCATATCATCCACCAGCCAATGGTTTAGTTGAACGATTCCACCGATCACTTAAAACGGCAATAAAGTGTTACGAAACTGAGCACTGGACAGATGTACTCCCCTCAGTTCTTATGGGCCTTAGATCAGTGATTAAAGAAGATCTAGGTTTAACACCTGCAGAAATTGTATTTGGAAGTACGATTAGATTACCTAATGAGTTTTTTATGCAGTCATCAGTGGCGACAGACCCTTGTTCCTTTGCTGAAACACTAAAGAAAACAATGGAAACCATACGCCCAGTGTCAACTTCAAACCACGGAAGTAAAAAAGTTTTTATATATAAAGATCTAGCATCCTGTTCACACGTTTTCGTTCGGGTCGACCGGGTCAAGAAACCGCTAGAACAACCATATGAAGGGCCGTACAAAATTGTTCAACGATACGAAAAAACCTTTAAATTATTAATTAGGCAAAAAGAATGTATCATATCAATAGACAGACTGAAGCCATGTTTCAACGAAAATGAAGATAATAACACAAATCTATCAATAACAACGAACCAGCACAACCAGAGAAATACAACTACAAGACCAACAATAATACAAACAAAACAAACCAAGTCAGGAAGAACCATCCGCCTCCCCGTAAGGTTTTTGTAAATTGTGAATTGTATCACTTTTATATTTGTATTTGTATTTTTATATTTGATATTTGTAACTATGTATGTTAAACGTAAAATTATCGTTTTCACTCGAAAGGGGGTAATGTAGGGATTAACAAAGATGTTAAATAACATGTGACAATGAATGCTTTTATATATGTTTATATGTTTTATCTTAGATGTACTGCAGTACGATAACACTCCGTGTATTTTTTTTATTCTCGCGCTGTTCGTCAATCCAGTGACACTTTTTATTTGTACTCTTTTTTTATGTTGTATAAAATAAAAATGTACAAGTTACAGATATATAAGAATCTTAATAAAGTTAGTATTGATTTCCATGACTAAAGTAAAACTGCTGTATTACCACATTTTAAAAATTATAATACTTAAACTTATATGATTACACCCCAAATTAACAAAGCAAACAAAATAGGAAATCATGATTTTAAGTTTAAATTAATTTACAAATTCTAGGTTAGAGAACATGTAATATTATGTTTACAGTGATGTTTTGTCGGGTAAATATTTATTATCAGTGATTATCGCTTATTCGCCCTTCTAAAAATAACCTTTTGTAATATTTTAAATGGAATATCAACAAGCGTTTTGATATAACAATGATTGTATTAGAACTAAATATTTCTAAAGCTTAACTAATATACATTAAATGTTCAACATAACTTATAACAATGGCAAAGTTAACATGATTAAATTATTTTAACTCCTCAATTATAAAAAGTTATTTTATAATAACACTCAGTCTGATAAAATCAAAATATTTTGTTTTTACACTCGTCCAGTTAGTATATCAATTAATAATAGTGTTTAAATCAAAACAGTTCTAATATTATAGATTGGCAAATAGTNCAAAACAGTTCTAATATTATAGATTGGCAAATAGTATTTTTATTACAATAAGAATTCACAACAAATAATAAATTTTAAAATACCAATTACAAATAAAAAATTTCTTGATGTTGTTTTGACAAGGTGTATAATATTTAGTGTAAGGTATCCACTTAACACCTACTAAGAATGGAGAAAAATATATATTTCTACACAATATGATGCTATAAACTAAGTATTCAAAATCATAAGTGAAATTACACACCAAGTCAACAATATATTATGATATAATATACAATGCATAGATAATATTATCTATGTATGATCATAGACAAGTTTTTTAATAAAAATCATTTAAATATTGAATATTTGATTAAAAATGTATACTATAATTTTTTAATTTAAATAAAATGTATTGCTTTAAATAAGCTTGAAACTTTTATCACTACTTGATCATATTACTAAAGTTATATATTTTTTTATTGTTTTTTATTATTACAATAATCAAATAAATAAAATATAATAAATATGGCTTTGAACATTTAAAAAAAATAATTACTTGTGTGTATATATAT